TTCCTGCATGTCTTACCAGGTCGTCACTCCATCTAGTGGGGGGTCGCCCTACACTACGCCTACCGGTACGAGGCTGCCACTCGAGAACCTGTCTTCCCCATCGGTTATCGGTTCTTCGAGCTGTATGGCCGGCCCATTGCCACATCAGCTTACTAATCCGTTGGGCTATATCGGTCTCTCTGGTTATACTGCGGATATCCTCATTTCTGAGTCTATCACACAGAGAAACTCCGAGCATAGCCCTCTCCATAACTCGCTGAGCGACCTTGAGCGTCCTCATACGGCCAGCAGTGAAGGACCACGTCTCAGATTAGCAGTGAAGGACACTTTAGTTTTCAGAGATTGAGGTATAACTGACGAGAAGATGTCGTAATTTCCCGAACGCTGCCCAGCCGAGTTGAATCCGTCGATTGACCTCTCGGTCGAAGTTGAACTTACCTAGTCGGACTATTTGTCCCAGGTAAACGTACTCGTCAACAACTTCGAGCATAGTGCTCCCAACAACTACCGGCATAGGTGTGACATGGACATTAAACTGATCTTTGTTTTGTCCATGTTCATCTTAAGACCTATCCGTTGGTAGACACCATTGAGGTCATTGAGCGTAGTGCTAAGGTCCTCCGGCGATTCTGCCATAAAGACTATATCGTCGGCAAATCGAAGGTGAGTGATGTACTCGCCATTGATGTTAATACCGAAAACGTCTTCCAACGCAGCGGTGAAGAGTTTCGGGGATATAACATCACCCTGTCTTACACCTCTCTGCAGTTGGATAGTTTTCGAACTCTGGTTCTGTACTCGGATAGCCATCGTAGCCCTACTGTACAAACACTTCAGCACTTCGATATACCGACAGTCAACTTGGCACCGCTGAAGGGACTGTAGCACCGCCCAAATTTCGACGGAATCAAAGGCTTTCTCATAGTCCACATATGCCAGGCAAAGTGGCAGATTGTACTCTTCGGTCTTCTGTACAATCTGCCGCAGGGTATGTATGTGGTCTATGGTACTGAAGCCTTTTCGGAAACCGGCTTGTTCGGAAGGCTGGAAGTCGTTAAGTCTGCTTGCGAGACGATTCGTAATGACTCTCGAAAATAGCATGTAGATGCGGCTCAGAAGGGAAATCGGTCTGTAGTTCTTCAAGAGAGCGTTGTCGCCTTTCTTAAAGAACAAGACCACCGCGCTTCTGCTCCACGCCCCCGGAGTAGTGCCACCATGGAGGACGGAATTGAAGAGCTTCTGAAGGACTTCAAGTACCGGTGTTCCACCCGCTTTCAGAAGCTCCGCTGTAATTCCATCCTCGCCTGGGGCCTTGCCGTTTTTAAGGTGGTGGAGAGCCATTCTAATCTCACTCAGACTTACGTCCGGGATATCATCGGAATAGTGTCAGATAAGACTTGCTCTTGGATCATTACTCACACTTGCGTGTGGCTCCAACGATGATGTGTACAGCTGTCCATAGAACCTCTCAAGCTCACTCAGAACCTCAGGTGTCCCGGAAATGATGTTATCACACTCAGTCTTCAACTTTGACAGTTGGCTAATACTGGCAGACAGATCTCTGGCAAAGACTTTGGAGCCCTGGTTCCGCTCGATCGCTTCTTTAATACGAGCGGTATTAAAGTTGCGTAAGTCTCGCCGCATACATTTGGAGATCTGTCTGTTCAGTTGCCTGTATGCTGTCAAATCTGTTGACGATTGCAGCCTCATCTCCCGTCTAACAGCCATGAGATTAAGAGTGTGATCGGAGAGTTTTTGTGGTCTTCTGCGGCGGGTCTTGCAGAACTTAGCTCCGACCGCATGGACAGTTTCCACGAGCTTGTCATTCATATCGTCCACTGATGGCAATCTTCTAGGCACTGAAAGCGGTTACGTAACTCGAGCTGAAAGGTTTCGGGATTCTGGATTAGAGCACGAGGAGGACGCAGCGTTGACTTCATTAGACGAGACCTCTCCAACTTAACGTTTAGGTTCAGTGTGCCTCTAACCATTCGGTGATCACTGCCAGTTTTTACCCTTGCGATCACCGAGACATCACTGAACAGTTGGTGTCTGGTCGTCATAATGAAGTCAATCTCATTTTTTGTCGAACCGTCGGGGCTCGACCAGGTCCACTTCCTGTGGGGCCGCTTCTGGAAGAAAGAGTTCATCATAAAGAGTCCCTCTTTCTCCATAAAGTCAGCCAGCTGCTGGCCCCTTCGGTTCCGTTGCCCTACTCCAAATTTCCCTACCTTCAGCTCACCGCTTTCTCTTGTGCCTAGTTTTGTGTAGTGTAGTGGGTTTTGGAGGAATGCATGGCTCTAGAAATATCCTCATACATTTCCTCCACCTCCTCATCGGGATGTGCCGAGGTTGGTGCGTAGACCTGTATGACCTTCAGCGAATACCGTTTGCCGATTATGAGTATCAGGTACGCGACCCTCGTCGACACACTCCCAATCTTTACAACGTTGTTGACGAGAGACTTGTGGACGATAAATCCGACACCTCCTTGGGACAGATGGTCGCCCTCCCGGTGATAGAACAAGTTGCCGGACTCGAGGATTGCCGTGTCCTCCCCCTCTCTTCGGACCTCGGATAATCCAATAATATGCCAGCGCAACTTGTCTACCTCTTTTTCCAGCTCCAGTATCTTCTCGTCAGTCCTCAGGGTGCGTGCGTTATAGGTTATATTGCCAGTTCGAGTCGTCGTAGGTGGCAACCAAACCTCCACCGGAGATTCTTAGCACCCCCTGCCCCGCCGTTACTATGGTCGCCACCGTAGCCAGGAATAGCGGTGCTGTCGGGGACTGGGGGCCTTTTGTTTGTGACATTGCTCCTGGGGGGATCTTTGCCATAGTTGCCACGCTTGGCGAGCGGGTTGGCAACCGCAGTTTCTTTATTGTATTATTGTTGCTATCAGGAAGATGCTGCTGCCCATCTCCTGCCTGTCTCCCTCTGTTGCCCCTCTTACGACACCCACGGGAAGATATGGGGTAGTGGATATTCTCAACCGCCACTACACGGGAAAGTAGTAAGTTTAGTAAGCATATACGATTGAGATTAAAAATGGGATCCAACTTTATGCAAGTACCGTATGTCTGTCGGGACTTAGTAGACTTAGTATAGTCTCATATTTGGATTATACTCATCTTTCAATCGATTTGTCTTTTTTGCCTTATTTGAAAATTTATTTAGAAAAGGCGAGACAAGTCTATTGTATATTTTTATATTTTAGAATTGTTATTGTTGAATTATAGGTTCGGTGTGTTTTGCTTGTGGCGTGACGAAAGTGCCATCAAAGAACTAAACTAATTTAAAATAGCGGAGTTTGGCGGGAACTTGAACGCTGTAGATCGATGCTCCTGTATTATTGTTTACATACATAATCATTTAAAGTATATTTTACGTAAACATGGTGCAATTTTATGTGGTAACTGTCGGTGCATGTCTACTATTAGTGAAAAGTTGTTGTGCCTGCTTAGGTGCCCAACGATACTATCGTTACCGTCTGTCTGCTGGCTCAAGCTTCTAAAAAAAATCCCCAAACTTGGCTATGCTAAACGACGCATCAAAATATTGTGAAATTAAATTAATTAATTTAGAGGATAAATTCATGACATTTTTGGCATTGCAAAAGTACAATGGTACAAGTCCATTACCAAAGAAAAAAAGACATCGCCAAAGACAAGGAGTTTGTTTGTCAATGTCAGTTTGTCAGTGTCACATTTTCTATGCGCTAGGCATGTCGATTTACTCTTAAAAAAATCGATCTTTGAATCGATTTGAATCGAAGGTACTTGAATCGATTATCGATTAAATCGAGGATTATAAGATCGATTTTCGATTAATCGCGACATTTTCAAACATGAAATTTCAAGAATTTTCTATATTTTTTATTAAACTTCTAAACTGTAATATTTTTTTTAAATAATATATTAGTAATCTTATTGATTAACATTACTAATATTCCTTTTAACCACTCCTGGTAAGCTTGAAACGCTTGTGTTAGGAGTGGTTCGCACATACTCCACTCGATCATTTTTTTACAAAGTGATTCCACGTAACACGTTATTTGACATTTTAGGCTAAAAACAACAACAATACTTTAATAAAAATGCAAACTGCATGATTTCTCGATAAATCTGTTTCAATCTAGTAACTCACTATTTATCATATTGAAATGAATGCTACACGAACACAATGGGTATTTCCTTACTATAAACCTCTATAAACTTCATCGTACGGTATAATATTTATTTACAGTATCTAGGTATTTAAAAAGTACTCTGTCTGTACTTACAGCTCACAGTATGTATATTTTTGAAAATAAATAATGTAAATTCACGAGTTCACAGTTCAAACAGGTTCACAGCTATAATATTATATTATATTATAGTACAGGAGGTGAATTATAATATGAAAATATCTATATATATAAAAAATATTTATAGTTTGGGATTTAATATACATTACATCTCAGTGGAAACGGTTCCATTTTAAAGTACGGTGAGCGATATTAATTTCTATCTCGAGATGTACATTATATGTTACATTAAATCCCTTAGAGGAAAGTGAGCTTAAGAATTTTGGAAGTGAAAATGAAATGACAACTTTTCGATATTGTTGGATGCGTTCATAAACATTTATTTTATTCAAATATATATTGCATTCAAATTATCAACCAAGTACGACCGGTTGTTTTTGCGTCCCCCAACAGTAAAAAATTATAAAAATTGGGGTATCTTACCCCAGCCAGTTTGGGAATTTTGGCTAGTTCTTGAATCAAATGAATCAGTCCGATTCAAGAGGTTTTTGGATCGATTCAGTGAATCGATGCTGTGCTTCGAATCGATCTAAAAATCGATAATTTTACTCCAAAGAATCGATTTTTCGATTAATCGATTTTAGATCGACATTCCTACTAACCTACTATGGGTTCAAATCTTTTACCCTACTGGGTATCATTTGTTTATTTTGTGAATTATATATATTTCTTTAAATACAATTTGAACTAAAAAATGTCTACAGCTATCGACCAAAAAGCTTACTTGCAAAAGTATCTAGGTGGACCATCAGGAGATAAAAAGAAGAAAAAGAAAAAAGTTGTTAAAGGGAAGGGGTAAGATGTTTTTAACGTAAATATTTATTAGCTTTAATTGTAAACTCATAACAATTTAATGATTATTAAGATATAACCTTATAATTTTCACTAAACTAATTTAACTTATGTAAACATATAATGATAGTACCTACTAATTTCCTCTGCATTGTTCATTGAATAATTTTATTCTATAATGTCATCCGTTATTATGATATAATTGTGTCCATAATTACAGGCGCAAACAACTTTCGTAACATATATTATTTGTTGTTAAGGAAATAATTATATTTAACCTAAGGCCCTGGCATTGTACAGGACCAACTTAGTCAGACCTGTTTTTTTTTTAAATAAAGGTAAATATAACGATTGGTCATTATGCTAATTAATTTTACTAATTTCTTATGCAAAAAAAAATATCGACAGTTAAAATATCAAATTGTTTGTATGAAGACCAAATGAAAACTAGAGAAACAATGATTGCAAGACATTGTCAAAGTAATAATAAAAAGTTTTGAGAAATTATTAATCTTTTCTATATTTCATTTTTTATAATTATTAAAGTGTATGAATATCCATATCATCCAGTGGGTGTTATAAGACTCGACTTGGGGAAAAGTGTTATTTTTAAATAACAATGGCTGTTGTTCTGGTTACAAAAAAGTCACAGTGAAAAATCTATAAAATAACTACTTGGAACATTAGAATGACTTATAATATGACTTTATGTATGCATTTTAGATTTAGTGTTAGCTTTTATTTCAATACTCTATTTTTTATTACTTTCCTTACCTAAGCCATGTGGCAATGTTATAAGTACCATTCTAATTATTACTTTTGGAATACATGAATTTGACCGAACCTAACCTATCAGTGGGGATTGGGAGTTAGGGATTGTTTCTAAAGAAGATGGATTTTTAAATCAATTCAAATCGAAATCTGATGAATCGATTCACTAATAAACCAATTTACTTTTTGAGTATGTATTTACATTACCAACAGATTACAAACATAACTTTTTATATTCATTAATTCATTAAGAGGAAGCGACAGAAACTGATCACACAGCCGTTTTGCGAGTTTTGGAATAATTAAGTGTCAAACTATAATTTTTTTAAGTGTTTGGGTACACTCAGTTAGTTGCAAATAATTTTATAGTTCTTATCAAAACACAAAAAGTCTTATCTCGATATCTAGGGTGAAATGTTTTTGGGACAAGAAATTAATTGTTTGGTTAAATCAGTGACAGGAGTAATAAAGAATTATATAGTACAGTGGCGGCGCGAAGGAACAACATTATTTATGAATGTAGATATTCATCATGACTTTTAGGCTGATCATGGTATGTGTTTGGTGTAATAGTGATAAGATAAATGTAATAGTGGGAGGAAAAAATTTTTTTTTAATCTTGGCTAAACACGAGTGCTCCATGTGATGTAAAGAGCAGCGTTGCCAAGATAAGCAATATTTGCTGCAGTAAAATTTTAAGCTTGCCTTAATTTTCATGACCACGAAGAATAGTTGGGAAACTATAAGGAGACGGATGGGGTAATTTTATTATTTGAAAAAAATATTATTGTGTGTAAAAAATAAAAGTTGCACAAACAATTGCAATGGTTAAAACAGTAATAATTAACAAAACCAAACTATTTTACTGAAAAGAAAAAAATTCAAATATTATATGTCACTTCCTCAACTAAGACAAATTAAACTACACCCCATAATTATCTTAAAAGCCATCAAGTAGTGTAGGTTACAGTGCATGCTAAAAAAAATTTGCTGTAAGATCATTTTTCTCGAAATTGTAGCTGGTTGAAAATCACCAAAAAAATTTAAAATTCTTTTTATTCCTTTAAGTGTTGTGACTAGTATAAATAATAGACTGTTTTTTTATTGGTTTTATAATAAATGTAAGGGCCAATAATTAAATTAAATTTTATTTAATCCCTTTGATGCATGAATTTTACATATGTGTTTACATGAGACATTATTATTAAGTTTATTTATTTACTTGATATTTTATCATTATTCACAAACAGGTTTAAGATAATAGATGATGACATAGACTTATCGAAATTACGGCCACTAGATGGTGATGAATTGGACATTCTTGATGAAGGAGAGGATGCCCCACAGATAGCTGGTATTATTGATGAAAGACCAGAAGACATAAAGAAGCTAGAACAATTTAAAACTAGCTCCAAATGGAGGGTAGTTAATCAGGTATGTTTGTATTAAGTACTTTAGTAAATTAATAGAGGCAATATAATATTAATAGAGGTAATAATAGTTATTTAATTAAATAGAGGTCATAATAATTACTTAATTAAATAGAGGTCCATGATCTAAACAACTTGGGAGTTGATTTTTTGAATGTCATTTAAGGTATTTTAATTGTGTCGCGTCAGTCACACTGTAGCATCAGAATCAGATGGGTTAGTATGAATTAGTAACTCTAGTGTTTTAACATACCCTCTGCCACTAATAATAACATGCAAATGATCATACCTCGTTAGTACTAGTTACTAGTTAATAATAATAATAAAGTACAAGTACTAGTTAATATAGTGGTAGAGTTACACCGCAGGAGCATTATGGATATAACACAAATTCGTTAGCTCCACTGGAAAATAACCATTTATCTCCCAGAATACCAGCTTAAAATAGCAACATGATGCTGCTATGTCGCAAATCATAAGGACCGGAGACTGGTTTTATTGATAACGGGGCGCTCCATAGTCTTCAGCTATGGTTTGGGTCATATTTGGGGGCTAGATGAAAGTGTCTCTGGGCTACAGCATCCGCTTACCATCAGGTGGACTATGTGCTTATCATCCCTACTTCTATGAAAAAATCCAACAAAATGCATGGTATATTGCTGAATACAGTACAAAATATTATTTCTACACTGCATTCTCTTCTCTGTAATACTAACTTAAAATTAGAGGACAATGCCATTTTCTACTCTTTGTAGTTTTTGTTTGGTTTATATTGCTAAACAATATAAATTTGGGATTAATGTTTATATTGTCTTAACTATATTTGTCATTTGTCATCAGATAAATTATTAACAGATTTTCACCTTACAATACAAAAAATTACGGCAGTAATTATTATATTTTTAATACGTTAATAATAGAACTATTGAGCAAGGTGGCCAAATATGCTGGGCTTTTCGAAGCTGTACACAGAACTTATTTCTATTAACATATTCCAAAAACGAGGTTTTAGAGGGTTTTATATTCATTACATAATATGACTTGTTATGTATGTTTACCGATTTCTTGGAAACTAGTGAACCAATTTAAATAATTCTTTTTTATTAGTTTATACTTCAGGGATTATTGTCTGTACCTAGAACTTGTGGTATTCCTTATAACAATAGAAGGAGTGAAAAAAATCAATCTTATTAGAAATTGAAAACTGAACAAAAACTAAAAATTTAAAAGTATAAAATAATTTCTACATAATGACTTATGAAGCCTGAATTCATTTGTTTTTAATTATTTTTCCCTTTTGATTAAACTTAAATTGAATTTGCCTAGGACGACGGGTTTAATAGCAAGCTGCAAATAGAAGAAATAAAGAAAGACATCAAAGAAGTTGAAAAGGAGAATGAACTAATATTTGGTAAAATGTACAGCGATTCAGAAGACGAGAAAAAGAATGATTCTGATCCATCACCACCAAGAAAAAACACGAAAGATGACCGTAACAAGGCTTCCAAAGCAGTAAAAAAAACTCAGAATAATAGCGATAGTGATTTTAGTCCGCCTAGAAGAAGAGATAATGGCTCCCCACCAAGAAAATCTAAATCAAACAATGAAAACTATGATTCTAATTTATCTATTCCAAGTAAGAACGAAACTAGGGAGTCCAAGAGTAAACAAAGGAAACCCAGCCGCTGGGAACAACTAGATAGAGACAATGATAAAAACTCAAGACAAAGGTCGCCCAATTCCGATATGTCACCAAAAAGAAAAAAGCAAAAGGGAGCACAATCGCCAAACAGAAGAAACAAAGCATTAACAAGATCCCCTAGTTCTGATATATCACCACCTAGAAAGCCAAAGAAAGTTGACCGAAGCAAAAACTATGACTCGGATTTATCACCTCCAAGGAAGTCCAGGAAAGACTCACCTGTGAGAAAAAGAAACAGAAGTCCAGATTCCGATTTGTCACCTCCCAGGAAAAGAAAACAATCTCCAATAAAACAAGGGACGCATGAAAAATATAATAACAAATATACTAATAATGACAGAAGTAAAAGCAATCATAGATATCCAGACAAATATAGATCTCCCGAAATGGAAACGTCTAAAAAAAAAAATATGACAGACAAATACAGTCACGCAGATCACCAGAAAAGAACAAGAGAAAACATGATAGTGATTCAGATTTATCTCCGCCAAGAAAATCGCACAACAGTAAGAGGGAAGAAGAAAGAAACTATAAAAGAAGCAGCGAAAGCCCACCTCCATCTAATAAGAAAATGGCGAAAACTCTTGAAGGAAAGAAAGCTGGTTTGCAAGATGCTGAACAGTTGAGGCAAGAGAATGAAGCCTTTAAGAGAAGGGAAGAAGAGGCATTTAGTAAACTGGCAGATGATGTTTCTGGGAGGAACGCAAAAGCGGTATCTAGAAAGGGTAAGTCAAATCAAATTGGTAATTTAAATTTTAAAGCAAATAATTTTAAACCACATAAAAATCTACCATTCTTATTTCTTGAATACGAAAATGGCTGCGCATATACCTGCTTTGAACTTGGTCCAATTAAAACTACGTAAATAGTGTTCTGTTACATATCGACAAGGGAAAGCTTTTGCACACATCTGCAAGCAGCTTAGTGTCTGTGTGTCTGTCACCATCAGTATCTGCTATGAAATACATGAGTAAAAAAACGGGCACACAGGATAAAGTGAGACTTTTCAACACCTGTACTAGTAATACTGCTCCTTTTCTCTGGAAGGACAACCACTCAGGGAAATCCGGGGTAAAATAGTATCTCAATTCTGCAGTGTTTCGTATGGTGAGTGTAGAGAACCGGAGATTCTTTTTTCTGGAAATGAGGCATTCTTAGTCCTCAGAGTTGAAAACGCATCTGCATTTTGATTCTTATTTGAGGATAGATGTAGATGTCTATGGGCTACAGCATCCATCGTCTCATCGTTATGATCATCACTAGCCCACAAAAGTCTACTGTTGAACAGAAGTAGGAGATAGGATTTGCTATTATAGTCATATTATAGAAATTGATAATAATATGGAAATGTGGATTTGTTTCATATGGTCAACAAACAGAACCAGAGACCATCTTAATGGTCAAGCGTTACATTGTAGTGCTTAGGAATGACAATGCATTTGCATTTTTGTTCTTATAAGTGGACTCCTAATATTTCTAATGTAACATCAACATTGACTGCAAATATTTCATAAATAGAAGTTAACGTTTAGCACCTGTATCGGTTGTAGAAAGCTCTTCATCCATTAAAATCTGCCGGACTTCATAACCTACCAGCCACTTTTCTTGTTAATTGTGCAGAGACGATAACACTATCAACAAGTTTGCTATTTCGCAAATTTTTGGATGAATGCTCAGTTCCTGATATTTGGAAATGTGCATATATCACCCGTGTGCACAAAAATGGTCTTAGGACTGATGTCACTAATTATAGGCCAATTTCTAAGTTGTGCATCATTTCCAGTCTTTGAAAAGTTGGTTTATAAGCAGGTGTATCCATTACTCAAATAAAGCATAAATAAATGTATAATTGTCAGCCTTACTCAATGAAAAATATATTCACCCTTATTTCTCTTGAAATATAAACATTTGAGAAAAATTATCATAAAGGTCTCATGACTAATACACATCTAATTTCGATATTATAACAAATATTTCCATTCATTCACTTATTTAATACAGCTTATCAAAGGCCCATTACTGAACACAACCCTCCCCCTCCCCCATAGATTGCCTCATAGGTGGGATATTAGGCAAAGTTGCCACACTTACCAAACGGTTAGCAACCGCATTTATTTTTTATTTTTTGTGGAATAATTAGTTTAATTAACGACGAGCTATTTTCCGCAACTCCACGTCTATTATTTCGTATTTAGCATAAACTTTTATATAGTATATAATATAATGTATATGCAGCAGCATGTATATTATATACTATATATAATATATAGTATATAATATATATGCTGCTGCCCATCCCCTGTATCAGTTTCCCTCATTCGACTTGGTAATATAATTACAGGCTGATAACAATAAAAATATTTGCTACTGTTGGGGTTTTTCAGCTAAAAGAGAAACATCTGAAGAAAGACAGAAGAAAAAAGAAAAAGCAGAGAGACAGAAAGAATTGGATGAGAAATATAAAAAATGGAACAAAGGGTATGTCTATATTTAAATAACTTTCAAATATATAAGATATTTATACAACATCGTCATCATTACAACCCTTCACAAGTCCTTTGTTGAGGTGGGCCTCCCCCAAGTTGCCCCAAGATGCGTAGTGTAGGGGATCCCCCACTAGATGGAGTGACGACCTGGTAAGATATGCAGGAAGTCGATGGATGCAGGTGGCTGAGGACCGTGCTTTGTGGCGTTACTTGGGGGAGGCCTATGTTCAGCAGTGGACTTGTGAAGGGCTGTAATGATGATGATGATGATGATAAAAAGCACAAGATCCAGCAGTGAACTGTGAACGGAAAGAGGAAGAAAGAGAGAGGGATTATCTCTCTCTTTTTTTATAGAATAAGGTCAGCACACAGTCCACCTGATGGTATGTGGATGCTGTGGCCCATAGACATCTACATTTATCCTCGATTAAAAATCAAAACGCAGATGCGTTGTCACCGCTGAGGACTAAGATGGAATTCCTCGTTTGCAGTAAAAAAGGTCTCCAGATCTCTGCACTCGCCATACGAAACACAACAGTATTACGCTGTATTTTGTGAGAGCGTGGTCCTTCCCCGGTCGAGCCGACCCATTCGTGCTACAACCATAATATACCTGGAGCATGGTTCTACCACGTACAAAATCTCTCTCTTTTGCGCCCTCTCTCTCTCTCTCTCTCTCTCTCTCTCTCTCTCTCTCTCTCTCTCTAGCATAACTTTCGGTAGTAAAAGTCATTTAAGGGTGATGTTAAGAATACATTTTTGCAACAAACAGGTGATAGTAAAACTGATGTGGATAATGTAGTTGATTTTACGATTAACCATTCAAATTCTAATTTAAACTTCTATTATTTATTTTATTTATTTATTTAACATATTATACATGATAAAGAGGATATAATATGGTACAACATAAGCTTAATGAAAAACTTTACCGTGTACCACAAACCGCCGACATATTTTTTTTTTAAATATGAGCTACACCTTAATCTACAAAATATGTTTAATGCAACACTATTAGACACTAAACAGCAATTGGCACGGTCAATACGCGGTAAATCGGCAATACATACGTAGTTACCTCATAGTGAACAAGAAAGGTGTGAGTCTTGAAACCGCCCACTTCACCGCGTCAAAAACCGGTCGTTCCTGCGTTGCAATATATAAAATAAAAAAAAACGGTCTGATGACGGCTTCGTGGTGCAATGGCTTAGCAATGAGTTGCAACTTTGGGGCCGCGAGTTCAAATCCCGCACGGAAGAAGTTAAGACCTACAAATAATTTTTCGGGTCCGGATGCTTGTTCTTGTGTAATTTTGCGTTTGTAAAGTGCCTCCACGATACAGTAGAAAACCCTAGTGTGGGTGTAACGTTTTTTTTTTTTTTTTATATAAAAGAACCAACTTTTCCAAATAAAATAAAAACTGCGTATAAAATATCTAGATTCGGTGAAGGGAATTTTTAATTCTAAAGTATGAATCATCTGGAACTCCGATTAACATACAGTCCAGTTGAACTCCACTTGAAGGACTTTCAGAGTGAAGGTCAATCAAGTGGAGGAGCAAGGGTCAAAGGGCTCTTTGTTGTGGTGAAGTGAAGTGAAGTGGTGTATTGCAGTTTTCTGGGCACTAAAAATAATTTTATAATTCTTTTTAATTTAATAAACATGCTTATGTGGTGTCTTATTTCATATTTTTCCAGGATTAAACAAATAGAGGCACAAGAAGCCAGAATTCAAGAATATTTACACGAAGCATCCAAACCGCTTGCGAGACATAGGGACGATCGGGACTTAGAAGAGAGGTTAAAGCAAGTGGAGAGAGATGGTGACCCAATGCTGCAGTACATGAGAGAGAAGAAAATTGAGAGGGGAGAATTAGGACCTGGTAAGTCAGTTTTATTGTTGTAGAGCTGTGCTGCAGTGTATTATAGCTGTCTGCTTGTTCGGTAAAATTATGCAAGCGATTTTAGACTAAGACTAGACTTGTCAAAGATTTTTTATGAATAATCAAAGACTTGGAGGTAGATGATTGATATTTGGTATAGATATAATATGCTACTGGAATACGTGAATCAGTAAGTTTTTCAGAATTGCATTAATATCATATGTCTCGAAACATCTGTCACTTTTTTATATCGGGCGTGTTTACCCGATGCATCCAGAAAGGTAAATTTCCTTGGATTCAAAATTAAATTATTTACATTTTACTCTTTAAATACATTCATAATTTAAGTTAATTTAGTTTTAACAAAATAATGATGAATTTCATGGTCGTCTATTAATTTCCGGTATATGTTTATTATTATATTGAGCCGTGGTAGCTCAGTGGTTAACGCTCGCTGTAAATATAACAGAACGCGAGTAACCCGGGTTCGATCCCCGCCGGCACCAATGAAATTGTTAATTGCAATTTTAAGTGCTGATTTACCACGTGCTCGGCGGTGAAGGAAAACATCGTGAGGAAACCTGCATGTCTGAAGAATAAGAAAAAAAAATATTTCGAAGACATGTGAAGTTCGTCAACACGCATTTGGGCAGCGCGGCGGACACTTCCTTGCCCTAAAACCCTCTCAGAAATGAGGGGAGGCCTGAGCCCAGCAGTGGGACGTATATAGGCTGTAACTTTACTTATTTTTTTACTTTTATATGTTTATTTGCCAAATTTAATCCATATCATTGGCCTCATTTAATATTGATTGGCACCGTAAAATTAATGCTGATATTTTTTTACGTTCGATTAGACTACAAATTTTCATAAATGAAGTTCTATTCATGGTGAATGTGGGAAGAACTACCTTCATGAATGGGAATAGAAATATGTTCGCCTTGTAGTGGAAGCGAAAGGGAATCCGCTACCCCATATCTTCCCATTGGTGTCGTAAGAGGCAACAGAGTTGTTGTCGGAAATAAACAGGAGATGGGCGGCAGCGTCTTCCTGATAAAAGATCAAAATAATAAAATGCGCGACAAATGAATTTGCAGCCTATTTGACAATTAATGGGTGCGTTTGGCAGAAAAAAGCGCTAGCAAGCGCTTGTGAGCAAAATGGCGAAACTAAACAGTTTTCGGCCAGGACACGATTGCTAACTTCAGTAGCGCTGACACAATCCGCCATTTTGCTTATTTAATTTGTGTGTTTTGAAGTAGAGTTTATAAGTTGTTTTGTGCAATATTAGTTTTAAATAATATAATGACATGAATAGACATATTATACATGTTATTAAAAATTAATATAATAATTAGTTTTTAATATGAATACTTAACAAACATACATTTAAATTATGTTAGGTTCCCCGGTTAAAACTAACTTCGTGTCCTAGAGGAAAATAGCTACTTACGATTTGACAGCGCTTACCGCTTACGATCGCCATTTTGTTTACAAGCGCTTGCTAGCGCTTTTTTCTGCCAAACGCACCCAATGTGAGATGCCTTTTTCTTACATTGAGAAATGCCTACGCGAGACAGGTACAGACCGGTTGTAATGGACTCGCACCGACTAAAACCCTATGGTGTTTCATCTTCGCCGCACGTTGACAGGGTAACAAAAACTCTTTCGCATACATCCGCTATCCTATCAGCGCCGGCCGCCTTAGGGCAGCCCCTCCTCGGTAGAGGAATAATCCTCCCCGTTTTACTTCTCAAGTAAGGCGCATCAGCCGGCTTCCTCTGCGGCCTCTAACTCCACTAGCGTAAGGAACCCCCCCCCCCCCCCCCAGTCCGATCTGCAGAGGCCAACCAGAAAAAACCAACACTCAGAAGCACCAGCTCTCCTGACCACAGCGGCGAATCTGGTCTATGGCTTCACCGCCAACCGAGATTCGGCTGCGGAGGTTAAGGAAAGCGGCGCCTTGCAATACCGTCACTCCTCCCCCCATATCCCAAAGCCTGACCATCACCGCATCAGCGCTGCGGCCCCGCCAGAACCGCGGAAGGAAGGGCGAGTGGCGCATCGACATACCAACACTACTCTTCCCCCGCGACTCCACCGCGGTTACTGCGGTAGGGGTAGAGGGCACCCCTCGCCGCAGTCCACCAACACACAACCGAAGTGTACTCACCAAGCCCACTCGGAGCCGCCACCTCGTGCCGGCTCTTCACCTCGGGACAGCGATGTGGGTTCCTCTTAATTTACCGCGCGTGACCAAGCCACAGCTACTAAACCCCCTCGTCACGACAAGGCGCCCTTTCGGGTAGCCTAAGTTCAGTTCAGTGAACTGTACATAAACCTGGCACACTGTAATTATGACGATAATGAGTTCTACTCATCTTTGTTACCCTTAATATTTACGGTACAATGAAAACAAAAAGTAACATATCCGAAAATGTTAATGAAATAAAAACTGCATAATTTCCCCATTAAAAGTAAAAAATTGCAGTCTACATACATGCCACTACTGGATACAGCCTGCAAAGAATTTTTGGACAAAAAAAGTGTTCACTTTGCTCACCCCAACACCCTTCTCTGATATGCCGGTTTCCTCGCGATGTTTTCCTTCACCGCCGAGAACGTGGGTTAATCCACACTTCAAAACATAGAGTAGAGTAATATATACAGAAGTAGAGAGCCATCTCCTCGGATTTTTTGTCACCCAATATGAATAGTGTCTCCGTCTAGTATCATATCCGTTGAACTAATCTCAATATTTTGACTATATACAACATGTAACATAATTAACGTACTTTGAGAAAGTAGTTTGCTCAGAATTGTTTACTGAATCGATTCCTATCATTTTTAATATAGGTAATTTTTTATCCCAAAAATAATTAAAACTACGTAAATTACAGTCACACTAAATCTGTACAGTCAAAACAAACTGAAATGGACCGTAACTTAAGGCAATAAGACTTTTAAGAGTGCATTTTTATTTGTATTATTACTAATTCTGTCATTCAATAAAAATAAAGAAAAATGAACTTTATTTCAAGCACGTTAAAGTCTTTGCGTTCGTGGATTTGTATTGTGACCACAACATTCTTCCGGAATTAGTATAACTAATTTGATAAATAATCAGTGCATAAAAATGTTTAACTAAATATTCAGGGTATGCATTATGATTATAACATAATATACTAATTGGGGTGTCTGAGGGTGTGCGTTAATTACGTTACATATTATATAGCTGTATGTAGTTATGTCCATACAGCATACTATAGGCGGTTATATTTATATTTTAAGGGATTAGGGTTCAATTAAAGACGTATTATAGATTTCAGTAATATAAACATTTATTTTTGTTATATATATTTAACAAACACGATGTAAAAGCGTCTATTCCGCAAAATACAACACCAAACCAAATTAAATATGTGCACCGGGTTACCGGAATGATAAATGAAAGCGTCTATTTCACACAACACTACACAAACATGCAATGTGGGTCCAGCATGAAAATCTAAACAGACAACAAGAAACAGAGGGCTAATCCCAACTCAACCAAACTTACTGTAGCAACAACCGAAAATCACATAAATGGCCAAAGCGTTCGTGATAACAACAACTTGCTCATACGCCGGTAGCCATTATGTCATATAAAGTTGCTTTTAGAATTTAATGTTCGAAAGTTTATGGGGATATCGTATAAGATGGCAAATTATTAAACCCCAACCTAAAGTATGGAATTGTACCCCACTTGCTTCAAAACTTTAAAATATATCGAATTTGGGTAATTTACGAACCATGAAATTTATGCTTGGATCAGTTTCATTCCCGCCTTTGACAAGTAAAAATAAAATAAACCTTTTCTTAGGTAAAATCTGCTTCCTTTGAAAATATTTTTTCGCAAGAGTCTGTTCATTTACACATATACTCATGTGAGCTATGAAACATGGACTGGCATATATATATATATATATATATATATATATATATATATATATATATATATATATATATATACATATAGAGATCTCTTTACGGTAAATGTTGATCAGACGCGACTTCACGCGAGCACTTTGTTGATCCGAAAACGCATGTTGATCCGGCGCCTTTTGTTGATCCAATATGCATCTCTGGTAACTAATGTGGCTTCGACCGGATCAACATCTGCACTCAGGAGACTGTTTGCTAGTGTTGGCCGAAGTTGATCCGATATACAAATCCACCTTGCGATGGTTACGGAAAATGTTGATCCGATTTAAATGAGCCAATCAGAGCACAGCAAACGATAAGATAAACGATCAGATTGGCTGTATGCAGCCGCGACGTTGCCGTTTCGTGTCTTTGGCGGTACAAGCTACAGATTAAATGCGTGTTATGTAATGCATTCGGGGTGCTGTTTGGTCTACCTCGTTATTGTAATGCATCGGTTATGTTCGCGGATGCGCGTGTAGATTGTTTCTACACCACCATGCGTAAAGGATGCACATCCCTGGTGCGTAGGGTGCGGGCCAGTTCCAATGGTATCCTGAGGGCATTTTCTGACAGGTTTGAAGTCAGTACCTGAACCATTGTCATATGGTGCACGTGCTGACTAATCCGGCCTGTCTTATATATAGTTTTAAAATTAGGTAAATAGTTTTAAGTTTGTATTATTACTAACATCTATGATCCTTGTGGTCGAAATAAACGACTTTTTTAACGAATTACTCGACAACGCCCCTTCATGTAGCAGAAGTGATGGCAACGGTGACATAAGGTATTCGTCTGAGTGCGTGTTTGCGTGTGTGTGTGTGTGTGTGTGTGCGTGTGTGTGTGTGTGTGTGTGTGTGTGTGTGTGTGTGTGTGTGTGTGTGTTTGTGTGCATATGTGTGTGCGCGTGTGTGTGTATGTTTGTGTTTGTGTGCATATGTGTGCGTGTGCGTATGTGTACGTGTGTGTGTGTGTGTTTGTGAATGGGTGTGCGTGTGTGCATGTGTGCACTGTTGTGTTTGTGTGTGTGCGTGTGT